TGGGGACAGGGCAGGGAAATTCGAGGATTCTCCATCCTTGATGAGAAGTGGGGTGCCTTGCCCCTGAACTCGCTCGACATTGAGGAGTGGTTGCCTTGCCCTGAACCCACGCGACATTGGGGACGGGGCGGGGGAAAGGGATAGGGGTGCCCTACCTTGAACCCACCCCGTTGTCATTCCTATACAATTGTTAATTATTAGTGGAATTAATAAAAATATTAGCTTTTATATTTATTTTTATTTATTTAAAGTTAATCAAAATTTCATTTAAAATAATAAAAAGATTAAAATTTATTAAAGTTACTACAAATTATTAATAAAACTAAATTTATTAAAAATATTTGTTCATATTAAATTAATAATAATTATTTTTTATAAATCAACATTAAATGAAAAATAAAATTATTAAATCTTTCAAATTTTCTCATCCATCACACGAGTCCCTACTAGTTATTGGTTAAATCAAGTGGGATTTATTTTCTTATTATTCTACACCCTATAGGTCAGTGACAATTACCCCTATACTTTAATATGCAACAAACCCCGCCTGAACTTTTACATTACAACAAATGCCCCCTTGGTCGTAAAGTCAGATCACAGAAGGCATTAAATTACCAAAATACCTCACTAAACATTCTCTATATTTTTTTTCTTGCCAATTTCTCTTAAAGCCTGATTGACCCAAAAATACCTTTGATCATCGCCAGGAAAGGAAAAAAACATGATTTTCTTTGGTGAGAAATCATTAACAATGAGAAATTTGACCTAGCAAGTTCATTGGTGACGACGTTCTCTCTCTCTCCTACTTCTTTCCTTCTCTCTCTCAGCCATCCTCCCTCCCCCGGCATTCTATCTCTCCATGTTGTAGCGGTAGTAATTTCATTTTCCACCCATCTCTCTTTTATTTATTTATTTTCTTCTTCTTATTGTTTTTCTCCTATTCTTCATATTGTTGTAACTTGTAACAGACCTTCCAAGTTCACTGTCTCCACTCTCTTCTTCCCGTCTTTCCTCCTATTCCTCTTCTAATCCCATTCCCTGCAACTGAATTAACCAGCGTCATCACTTTGGTCTTAAGGCAAGCACTCAAGTATGAACATTACAAACTGTTAACAAAATAAGATGATTTCATAAATTAAAGAAAAAGGTAAAATAAATTACAAAGGGTAGTTTAACTGTTTAGAAAACTTTTAGATGAGAATCTTTTTCAAAGTTACTGATGGAATGCTAAAGGAGGGAGGTCTTTGTCGCAAAAACAAGTGCATTGGGGGTCTTTGTCATTGACTCCAATACCCTTATTTCTTTTTATTAATATTATTGCATAAATCAAATAAACTAGGTTTTTTCTTTTATTTTAAACTGTTGGGTGACCAGAAATCTAGTATCAATTATATGGGTTGTTCATCATATGATCCCATTGGTGGAAATAATGTTGATGATGGAGAATCTTTTACGCTCTAAAACATTATGATGGTCATTTGTTTAATTTGACAACTTTGGATTTTGAAACTTGATGTGTAAAAAGTTTGTTATTATTAATTGGTCAATTATTATTCAGTTAAACACTAAAACCTACAACTTATTATATTTTATGAATATTTATGGTATATCATATGTTATTTTTACCATTTATCAACTTTAATTATTTTTGCTTAATTTTTGAGACTTGTGACTCATCTTTTTGGGCCATTATGCCTTTATGCTTTTTAAATGCTTGAATTAAAGAACGTATGGTTGTAATGGATCAGGTCAGGTCCCGGGTTAGGGTAAACATGGTCCTGGTCCGATTATAAGACAGCCAGACCCGATCCATTCTGACCAAGAGCCTAAAGTGTCTGCAAGTGATAGACCCAGAACTCACCCTATTACTAATGAGGCTTATTTGGTCTTTACCCCATAAGACTGAATTTTAATTAACAGGAACTTAGCCTGGTAATTTGACAACAAATCTAATTTTCTTGCTCTCTTTCTCAAAATATATTATTAGTTGTAGATATTTTGTATTAAGTTATTATGGATGAACCATGAGAAAGTTATATAAAATGTTTGGAGAAATATGCACATTCATACTTACGTGTATAACTATCTATAAAGTTGGTTCGGGTCTTAATCGGGTTGGAACAGGGAACAAAATTAGGACCCATTATAAACCGGACTAAAATACAGGAGCTAGATGAATGTTGAGCAAAATGCTGTTCATGTAGTCTGTCAGACATGGATCTGTAGGTGGAATTTAGAGCTTCCAGGCAACAACTTGCTTATTTTAGTAATATTCATGTATAAGCCATGGGAGTAGACTCATTTTCAACTCCTAGTGTTTATCATATTCCTTATATATACAAAATAACACAAAATACCAAGTTTTGCGCCCTTACATATTTGTATTTGCACTTCTTCCGAATTGAGCCTTTGTAGAAGCACCAGAATTTTGAGTACTATCATGATCCTTTGCGAAGGATGACTATTGACAATTGTCTTTTATTTGGATTACCACCCAAGAGAACATTCTATGGGCGATGAAAATTGGGAATCTGTTGGGAAGCAGTATTGGTCAATGTGGCAGTTGGCAAATTGGACATGTCGATATTGCGGTATTTAAGATTTAAACAAGCATAGATAGATTCTAAACAGTCCAGAACTGGTATTTCTATATGCAAATTGGACAACCAACTATTTTCTTTGAGGCTCAGTGTGGAAGGAGTACAAATGCAAATTTGTAGAGTGCAAAACCTTATATTTTGTATGTATTTATACTGTATATATTTGTATTTATATTCCTTTCAAACTAAGCTTAGGAGTACAAATATAAATATATAGAGTGTAAAACTGTATTTTATATTATTTTGGATGTATTTATACTGTACATATTTATATTTGTATTCCTTCCAAACTAAGCCTGAAGAAAACTTTTCAGTCTTTCTAAAATTTGAATATGGAATTCCAATCACATAATTCCATAGTTGAGATGGACTTTGCCTTGAAGTTACTTATTGCTAAATGGTGTATGTGGATCCTAACTACCAATAAAAAAAATGGTGTATGTGGATCCTCAGTTATATAATCATCGATTAACAAATGAACCAAGGAACTACATTTGTGCTTATTTTGATCTCCAATGGAATTTCTACTTGTATAGTTTTGTGACAGCTTTGGTTGCCAGAAATTTCTTTTGTCTAGTTTCTTCCCATATAGACAGTTATCTTACACATTCCTGATGTTGCCTCTTTGAGTTTTGATGGAATAGAAACTATAAAATGGTCAAAAGGCACTTTTTTTTTATATAGAGCTGTAAATCGGGCCGTACCAAACCCAATACGATGGTATGTGTTGTGCTGGGCCTAGGGTTCGAAATTTACAGGCCAACATGGCCCGCTTGCAGGCCTGAAGCGGGCCGCACTCGGGCTGCCCAAGAACTAGTCAATGGGGACCCCCTCAAGAATTTGGGGGGTCTTTTACAGAAATACCCCCAATAGCTATAAACAACTATATAGGGGGTATTTATGTATTTTAGTTATGGAGAGAGAAAAAATGATAAAAATGCCCCCCAATAGCTATATAACAACTAATTTATCGGGCATTTTGGGTAAAGTGATAAATAACTTTACAATGACCAAAATACCCCTTCCAACAACTAAAAAATGACTAACTTTTAAGGTATTTTGGGCAATTAAATTATTTTCAATTCCTATAAATAGTCTTATCCTCCACTATTCTCATCACACCAATTCAGCAATTCTCTTTATCTCTTCAGTAGTTCTTATATTCTCTCAAGTTTCAATCTCCCAATCTCTCATACATCCTCTGAAATTTGATTGACTTATTCTCCAATTCTCAACTTTTTTGAAGTTTCAACAAAAAAATGGCTTGGACTCTTGGAGTTGAAAGACTTCAACCACTGAAATCAAGTTGGAATTCCAAACCAACAATCTGGGTAAGTCCAATTAAATTAATTTTTATTTTTTTAGAATTTAAAAAATTGTTGGTTCCTCCCAAAACCAATTCCAATTTTCCAACATGTTTAATGTCGACGATATTCAGTTGCATTATGATAGTGATAGTACCGATATGTATGCTATTGACATTGATGGAACTTCCACCCTTAGTATTGATACTAGGAAAAAAAAAAAAGAAAGCTTCTAAGTTGATTAGCCCGATTTAGAAAATATTTAAAGTAAAGGATGTTGAAGAAAACGGAAAAAGAATTGTTTGCCAAAAATGTAGAAAAGACTTTAACTATTGTATCAAGAGTGGTATTTGGCCATTTGATTAGACATTTATTCACCTATGAGAAAGAAGAATAAGAAAAGAGAGAAACAACACAAACACAAATTGAGCAAGGGGTTTTAGTACATTTAAATATTCTCAAGAAAAAATGAGACAAGAATTAACAAAATACATTGTACATGTTGAACTAAACTTAAAAAATGATTACATAATTTTGTAAATCCACAATATAAAAAATTTCTAAAAAAGCTATTAAATCAGATACTTTAAAAACTTTTTCTTCATATAAACAAAATTTAATTTATATGATATTAAATCTTAATTCTAAATTTCCAATTTAGACTTCTAAACTCAACATAAATTATATTTGTGTTATCAGTCATTTTATCGATGAAAATTGACTTTTAAATAAAAGAATTTTATGTTTTACTAGGCTTGAATGGAACCTAGCTATTACTACAAGTTGATTCTTAATTTTTTGTCTGTATTCATACATATCCAAAGCATATCCCAATACATCTCTTAAGACGTTTTCGAGTAGACGAAGAACCAACTTGTGGCTTTTAACAATTCTCTTAAAAACTGCAGAACACGAAGCTGCTGAGTTACTACAGCAGCCTTCTGAGAAAAGGATGGCCTACTGTCTCAATGTGTGAGCCTACAATTGCCCTTCTTGCTTAATTAAGAAAATATTTAACAGCCTCATTTGCATGTGGTTGAGTTCAACCCCCTTGAGTTAGAAAAGATCTTCAAAATCCTGGAGACTGCTCATGATGTAAAATTAAAGCAGATAGAGGCATGCATAAAAATATAGAATAGTAATGAAACCCATCCTTCAGGCCTTTATAGAACAACCAATGGAAAAGCGTGACTTGAAGAAATAAAAACAGAAACAGTAAACTTCATATTGATTTTTAGGATCTGTTTTACTCAAATAGAGCTTTTAGAGAGCCTGGAAGTGTGGGTTCAGCTCAATGTAAAAAATACTGACAGCCTCTTGGACACTGCTCCTCCCATCAAGCAACCCAATCTCAGTCCTGGACTTCTTCTGGCTTCTTGGAACTTGATTTGAGGTACCAGCCAAGAGCGCCAACAGCAGTTATGACTCCAGCAAGAACTGCATAATTTCGGTTCTTGTCGGTTGATACACCCGGTGTTGAGGAAGTTGGGCCACTTGGTTTGGCATCAGCAGCTGTGCCCCCAGAGCTTGCAGCTGGTTCTTCTGGTTTAGGGCCCTGGAAATATGTAAAGAGTCGTGCATAACTAAGTTGGGAAGTATAAGTGAAATAGTGGCTAGTAATTAGAGATTTCAGAAAGAACAAGGAGACTAGTGCAATTTTATCATTTATCTTTCTCACCTTCCTTTCAATTAAAGAGCTAAACAGAAAGCATAGGGAAACATATTAAGAAAAAGATAAGAAAAGAATACTGAATGTAGTGACAATGTTGCTAGTGTCATTTTATGGATTGCATCGGGCCAACTGGGCCAAGAAGCCAAATTGCATGTTTTTCTTTTTTTTTTTTTTGATCAATCAAATTGCGTGGTTAATCAAAGCCGTCCTCCTTGATTTCTCATTTCTTACAAGTGCCATGCATTCACACAATGCACCTGCATGTAAAGTGTTGTTGGGTATCATTTTGTGGGTTGCATCCGGAATTACTGGGCCAAGAAACCAAATTGCATGGTTAGTCCAAACTATCCAATCCGAGTTCTTTTCTTGATTTTAATTCTAACAGTTCTACCAAAGTATTTAATAACTGAAGCTGTTCCCACATATATCTTTAATAAACTCAGAATCTCATGCCTGATTGGCTGCCACCACACAACGACTGAGTATCCTTAACCCTTAGATCTCATCTTATTTTCATCATACATTTAGTTCCAAGCTCAGAATAACCTTGGTACAATATGCAACAACTCAGATGTGTAGTCTCTCACTTTTATAAAAGCAACTATCCTAATTTGTGTAAAGATAAAGAATCAATAGAAGTCAATATTCTTCAGCATTATTTTGGTCACACAAACCTTTTTGACCTTCATCAAAGTAACATGGGATTTGTCATGATAATCAAACAGGGAAACATTGAAGTGTAATTATACCTTGCGTGCAAGCTTCTCCAGCTTCTCCTGTTCGGTTTTCTGATGAGTAAAAAATACAACCATACAATCATTTTAGTTCAAATTCAGTGAGAGAGATAAAAAGAAACCATTCATAAATCTTAAGTCAAATAATAATGATCTCAAGCAACAAGACTATGTATTCCATTGAGTAGATAATTCAAGTTAAAGTTTAAGATAGAACAAATATTAGAAATTTAGTAATAATAGGAGTGTAAATCAGGATACACTTAGGATTAGACCCAAGAGATAACTCAATGTGACCATTTCTGGTACCTTGGTTCAGTAATTCATAACAAGGGAGAGATTGAGGAGGATGTCATCCAGAGAATTAGTGCAAGTTGGGCAAAATGGAGGTGTGAATCTGGACTTTTGTGTGATAGGAGAATACACTTAGATTAAAAGGAAAATTCTATAAAACAGTTGTAGGGTTAGCTATGTTGAGAAGAGTCTTGGGAAGTCAAGAAACAACATGGTCAGAAAATGAATGTGGCAGAAATGCGATTGCTAAGATGGATGAGTGAAAAAACTAGAAAGGATAGGATCACGAATGAAGCCATCCATAGAAACCTAGAAGTAGCTCCAATAAATGATAAAATGAGAGAGAGTAGGCTAAGATGGTTCGGTCATGTGCATAGAAGACCGCCAATAGCTCCAATTAGAAGAAGTGATTTGTTACAAGTGAAAGGGGCTAGAAGAGCGGGGTAGACCAAAAAGGGCATGCGTAGTGGTAAGAAATGATTTAAATACTAATAACTTAATAGTGGATACGGTTTTAAGTAGAATGGAGTGACGAAACAGGATTCATGTAGCCGACCCCATATAGCTAGGATAAGGCATGGATGATGATGAAACATGGGAAGTTGAAGCACTTCAGTTGCATGTCAATGCTTTTCTTATGGTACATTCTTTATGAAGCTTATATTGTCTCATCTAATGATCTACCTTAACATAACCTGTCACTTCTAAAATGCAATTGGAATAATTGTAAGTTCACTTGTGAAAGGGTCTGGGCCCCAAACACTCGTGGTAGTCTCTCTTGTGCATCATTCCTTGAGACAATACCAAACCAAATGTCTTGCCTCATCCCTTCCCAATAAAAGCCATTTAGAATGGTCAGTCTCCTCCAAAGGTCAAAGTTCCTTTTGCTGGGAGGCAGCTCTTCATTTCACCAATACAAGTGAAAGACTCCAAAGAAAATGTAATACCAGTATTCATCCTCAAGAGTGGAAAAGGCACAAACCATCTTTCTCAGTTTGCTACTCAAGTATGGAACCACTTTCCCCTCCTATTTGGAGCTTCTTGGACAGAAACAACAAATAAACCTTTCTCCACAAATTTGGCTACTTGTCAAACAAAAAGGCAGAAGATTCTATGGAAATGTACAACAGCTGCCATCCTACGGAGTTTATGGGATGAGAGATGCTAAAATAGTTGAAAATAATGAACAAGATGTTTACTCCATGATAGATCTTATCATCAATGAACTGTTAAGGGGATGGCAAAGTTTGGCCAATTTTCCCATTAGAAATCAGCAAAGATTAATGGAATCGAAGGCTCCTGTGTCAAGCAGAATGAAACTAAACTTTGGTGGTTGCAGCTTGGGCAATAAGCTATCTTTTCCAGATTATTCTTACCGTATTCCTTTGTTTTATTGTAATTAAAACACACTAATCCAAGCAAAACCAAACATTTCAAAAACAACATAAACACTTGATTCAAGCTATAAGCATCATGACTGCTTAACCTGAGAAATGCAAAACCTTCTCTTTTTGTTGTTTGAGAGATAAATGATGCAGATATTTATTAATGAGCATAAGAGGATAGACAAATACATGAGGAATGCCAGCCAATAGAGACAAGAGTACAAGAGATGCTGTGCACTCAACAGAGATATAAGTATGTGCAAACAATAGCAATAAGGACCCACAAGGCGCCAAGGTGAGGCAGCTAAGTGTTGCCTAAGTGATGGATTTTTTATGAATAAAAGCCATGAACCATAGGGTAATTTCTCAAGTTCCGTATCAAGTGGTAACCATCTTTCACTAGTAATTGTCTATAATCTTCATAAAAAATGTATAAACTTCATTTAAAGCAATAAAAATTAAACATATTCATGAAAAAAAAGAAAAAGAAGAAAGAAAAGAAATTTCAGAAAGTAGAGGAGCTGAACCCTATTTTTTGTCTTAGGAAAAGAAGAAAAAAATAATCAATATGTGTTGATTAGATAAAATTTTGAGTTCCTCCTTGCTTATCAGTTCAGGTTTTGATGTCTTGAACCCTTCAAGACATCATACATGTTGATTGAACCCTAACTAACAAGAAAAAAGAAAAAAGAAAATTAGTACTTCTAGTCACAAACTGAATAATTTACACCCTGTTTGGCAATACTTTGCGTTTTGAACTTTTGATACTACAGAAGTATAGAATACATGTAATACTTCTACTTTTGTACTTTTACTTCAAAAACCGTCAGGATGAAAATCTTTCAAAAACATAATTTTTTTTGGTGAGTAACAGATTTAGATTTATTACTTTAAGAACTAAAGTCTGTACAAATCATAGGTAGCCACGGCTACCTCCCTTTAAGAACCAAAAGCATCATTCCCTGTTTACCCCTTGTTTTGCTAATTGGTCAGCAAGACCATTGGCTGACCTTGGAGTCCACTGAATTATCAACTACAAGTCCCTTGAAAGAATCTTGAATTTTTTAATTTCATTTCTGAAAAACCAACGAGTCTTCTCATTCTGTTTCAGCCAGCTTATCACTATTTTGGAATCTCCTTCAACTACTAGCTTTCTCATTCCCATCTCCATGGCTTTTTGCATCCCATAGAGCACAGCCCCCAGTTCTGCTGTTACAGAATCACTCATGACAATGGGGCCTGTGTACATGCCTACAATAGTTCCACTTTCACTTCTTAACACCCCTCCAATTATAGACAGGCCTGGATTCCCAAAGCCGCTTCAATCAAATCTTTCAAAAACATACTTTTCAAAGTAAAGTAAATAATGGTATTTAGATACAACAAGATGTTGTACACATGTGCATGCCACATGGTATCCAGATATGCCACCATGTCGCCTATACGTTTCATTGAATACATTCAAATGCCATGTGGCGCAAACATGCCACTAATTAAATTAAAATGCCATGTGGCATCCATATATGATGTCACATGGCACATTCCTATCATTGATTGCATTCAAATGTCACATGGCATCCGTATATGTCAAATGGCATCCATGCCGTTTAAAACACTGCCATAGACATGTCATTGAATATGTTCAAATGCCACATGAAATCCATATATGCTGCTATGTGGTGGAGTGTATAAGAACCACAAGTGTGGTTTGTGTACACATTTTAAAAAGTATAAAGTGAAAGGGCCAAAAAGCACGAAGCATCAAAAGTTGACTTCATGCTTTTCATACTTTTACTTTGTGTTTTTTGGAAGTAAAAAACACCTCAAACAAAACACAGACTTTTGCTTTACATACTTTGGTACTTCCAAAAGTATGGAAGTACTTTTAAAAACTGCTGCCAAAAGGGCCTTAGTTTAATTGTGTTTATTTTATCATTATAATCTCAAAAAATTAAGAAATGAATCTCCCTACCTACAAGAAGTGAATCTTCCCACACATAAAATGCCCATGAGCTCAAAAACACAGATATCAAATCTCAGAAAAATTTCTTCAAAAAAAAAAAAGCTCTCCCCTTGAGCAACCATCTCAGGAAGCAAGAAAAGTAGGGACTGAAGAATCTCAAGAAGAATTCTGCAAATGCAAATACCTCACGTGGTCCCATGCAACTCCTGCACTGAGGCCCAATAAACAACTCCAAAAGAACTCTATTTGTAGAATAAAAAAGAGTAGGTTTACTCTCCAAAGTTTTGTGGTTCTTTTCCTTCCTAAAAAAAGCATGCTCTTCGATGCCCAAACATTGAAGTCATCAATTACAAAGATCAATCACTCAAAAGAATTGCAATAGTAATTTTTTATTTGAATGAAATTAACTTTCCTTTTCCCTATTGGAAAGAATATTTCTGACTGTATAGCATTGTTTATAAGTTCTTGAACTTGATATTGGTCTAAAGAGGGTAGCTTCTCGGTAAAATCAATGACCAGTAGATTCAGTAGTTGAGCTGCAGTGGGGGATTTTCAATCAAAGCAGATTTGGAATTCAATTAGTCCCTCAAAGTGAACTTCCTTGTCTAGACTATGGCTTTAAATAAATGCCTACCCAGAATCAACCTAGAAAAAAGAGGCTTGTAGATCCCTGATGACTCTTGTGCTCTTTGTGAATCATATCCAGAGACTACTGATCATCTTTATATTCATTGCCCGATTGCCGCCCAGGTGTGTGACCATTTCTTACAGGCTGTGGGGATTTGTTGGGTCATGCCAAAATCTATAAAGGATGTTCTCTGCAGTTGGAAGATCAGCAATTTGAAGAAAAAAGGGAAGCTAATCTGGAGTACTATCCTGGCAGCAGTGCTCTGGGCCATTTGGTCTGAGAGACAACAGAATATTTAACCAAAAAGTGAAAATTCCAGAGGAGATAGGGCAGGTGGCAGTCAGCAAATTGAAGTCATGGATATCTGTCACTCCAGAGTCCAGAATTCAAACATTTAAATGTATTCCAGTTGTTGAGATCTCAGTCGATTTGGTGTCGATAATGGGGGGTGTCCCCATTCCTGCCTTGTCTTTGGCAGGTTTCTGTTTGTATCTCTAAGTTTTTCTAATAAATTTACCTTACCTTTTCCAAAAAAAAAAAGATCTTTATTCAATAATCCTTTCTATTCACTGGTCTTGTTTACAGAAGAGTATCATGAATTAATGTTCATCAACATTTCAACCAAGCAGCCCTGAAACATCCATCCACAAGCCATTCTAATTAAAAGCAATATCCTATACCGTAAATATTTTATTTGCTTTTGCAACCTAAAATCTTAATCCGTAGTACATGCCTTAATGACAAATATTAATCCCAGTTTCCCTAGACTTTATGACCCTAAAAATCATAGTATCACTCTTATACCAACCTTAGTAGCATACCTAGAAAATGAATTGATAATTGATAAACAAAAATCTAGATATATAAGCATAAATATGCACAAGGATTTTCTAGTGAAATTGCTTATTTTGGTCTTCCTAAGACATGTTTTCTTCTAAGCGTTCAGAGAATTGAAAAAAGAAGCCTCAGAATTTCACCAGTATTGGTAAGAAGGCCATCCTCCACATACAGAAAAATGTATAACACTCCAAGCAATAAACATACAACAATTTTAGAAGCGCTTTTTCATAAGTTCTCAAGTATAGCCTTAACATTGCAATAAATCGTATCTATCAAAAAAAAAATGCAATAAATCGTCTAAGTTAGCAACATAACAAATAACGATCCAAAAGAAATGAATAATCATCATTTATGCAATGCTTGGCATGATCAATAATTCTAACAAATAAAAAAATCTACAGGAACGAGTATGATATTTCCAATTACGATAAGTTAACGTTTGGACTTCCGCTTCATTCGATGATGCTTACTACATACATCTCATCTCCGTAGTGTGAAACCAAGAGATTAAAAATAGAAGAGAATGTAAGGAATGTAGGAAAAAGCCAAATAAGATAAAAAAGAAAAACAAAGATAAAACATAGTTTCACTGAAAGGTCTAAAATTCGCCAAACAGAAAAGCTCAAAATCTCCTTGAAAAAGAGCTATAAAACTCAAAGGAATAAAAGAGTGAAATGCAATTAAAATTGGAATCCCGAAAAATCGAATAAAATGCACCAATATACGAACAAGACAATCCCACCCCCACCCGATTACATCCTCAATAGCATCAACCTGCTAAACTACGTAAATCAAACATCAAAAAGTAGAGTATCTCAGAACTTCAAAGTTCAGACAAGATGTAATTTGAAAGGAATCGAAATTAGAAAAAAATCGATACGGAGTAGAGGATTCAAGCAATGCACCTTAATGTAAACGTTTTCAGCAGCTTTTTCCTCCTCGCTGAGGACTCTACCGTTACTTGAGAGCCTTCGAGAAATATACCTTGCAGCGGCTCTTGTCGCCATGGCGTCTGATCTGGTCTAGGGTTTCTTTCTCTCTTGATTATCTTCTACTCCCCTCTCTGCAACCTCTCCAATTTCAATCGCCAAGTGCGTGGAGAAAACAAACAAGAGGATCGATTTGTACCCCAAGAAATGACGCATTGGAGTTCTAAGATGCCGAAATTGCCCTTGGTCGAATGATTGGAATCTTTTAATGATTTGGCCTCTGTGGATAGCACGGTCCGTGATGCTAGCACTGATCCCAAAGTAAAAGAAAAGGTTTAAAGGAACCTCACTATCGCCAAAGGCGCTGTTTGGATAGATTTTTATTTTGTACTTATATTGATGTTTTTGCTTTGTGATGTAGGGTGATCTGGCCCGACCTCGTAGCACGGGGATACGTGGACATGACCTGGCATAAGTGACAACTCAGCGCGATAACCTGGCCACAACTAGGCGTAACAAGCTCGCCGAGGCCCGACCAAACGACTCGGTGGGTGTAACAACTCGCCGAGTAGCAAGGCCCAGCTCGCCCCAAGCCTGAGGGTGGAGCGCCCCGAGCTCCCTCCGTGCAAAGGGACCCAAGCTCCCCTTGAGACCCGATCTCCTCCTAAGGGGCTCCGAGCTCTCCCTCCCTAAGAAGGGAGCACTCCAGCTTTTGGCTAAGTGTCCCGAGGGAGAAATACCTCGAGACAGCACCGTCAAGACTCCTGTTCGTACTTGCTCGAGGCTCGCCTCCAGTGCGAGCACCTCGGCACCTTGGTGCAAGGCAACCCAGCCCCAGGCGGTTCGGTCCAAAGTAGCTCAGCAGCTTGCAGGGAAGATCCGCCTGACATCCGTACCTGCCGGATCTGGTGGCAGCGCCCACATCTCTTGCTAGGCAGTGTCGTGCTTATCGTCTCTAAAAAGCATGGCACGCCTGACGAGTCCGTACCCTACAGCAGCAGCCTGCACCTACCACCTCAGCCCTGACAGTAATGGCTAGGGCAGTGGCAGTTACGCCTGATGTGACTGAGCTCCGGTATAAGAGGACCCCGACCCTCATGAAGCAAAGGTATTGAAGCTAGCACTTTCAGCACTCTTAACTCTTTGTGTTTTCCTTGAGTTTTCCTTAGAGTTCTAACTTAACCATCGGAGTGTTCCCGCCGGGAGAGCTCCCCGGGAACCCTTCACGTTCCTCTTCATCTCAGGTGTTGTCTGTCACAGCTAGGAGCCAAGTTTCAGCCAGCTAGGAGTGCCCAGATCGTGCTGCATCATTTGGCGCCGTCTGTGAGAACGCTTCAAAAGGCCTTCCTCTAAGTTCTGTGCAACTCTCTCCAAAGAACTCATCAGCATCACCGACACCTATGGCTTCCTCCAGCAACGCTGGATGCTGAAACACCCCTGAGGAACAACCCCAATTACCCACCGTCTGCATCGGATAGTTCACCGTCCCCCTCTCTATGGACGGAGTCCCCAGTCTGAATGTGCCTCAGACGGTGGCAACCATGACTGTTCCACTGCCCTCTACAGTCGGAACAACCTTCGCTGAACCCACCATCCTCCCTCTGGTGGCCAGTCAAGGTCAGTTTGAGGATTTGATGCAGTGCATATGAGCCATGTAGGCTCAGATGCAACAGTTCCAACAACTTCAGTTTCACTAGTAGCAAGTGCTGCACCAGGTTCCCCAATACCAGTATCAGCAACAGTTTCCTTCACTCCCTCCTCGGCATCCAGTTGTGCAGCCAACCAAGCCTCACCGCCGAAGCAAACTTCCTTCCCGCCGAGGAGAGACCTCGATATCGTCTCATGGAAGGAAGGAAAGACCCCCTACCCCCGCCTCGCGGCCTGTAGTTAGGTCGGGGGCTTCCCAGCCGGTTAGGCCCGTATCACCTCAGCATTCGCAGTTCGAACCTCTGTTCGCAGCTAGCCGACGACCTGGGACAAGGCTCCTCTGTTCGCAGCTACCGACAGCCGTCCGAGCCTTTCCCTGGGCCCATCAAGCTCAGTAATACCAAGGCCAGCAACACCAATGCTGATCCTGCTAAGAAGCAGCGAAGGCGTCGCCGAGCTCGCCGAACTGCCACACGCGATCTACCCGAATTCAGAGGCAAGGTAGAGGTAAGTTCGGGCAAGGTAAAAGCTACTCCGCTTCTTTCAGTTCCTTCCCCCCTGTCACCAGAGCTCCTTGTTGTCCCCATGCCAAGGGACTTCAAGCTCCCCCCGTTGGACAAGTACGATGGGTCCTTCGATCCCAATGATCATGTGGACGCCTTTTAGTCCCAGATGCATCTGGCCAAAGCAAGCGAGTCTTGCATGTGCGTGGCCTTCTCCACCACTTTCAAAGGAGTAGCCCGCACTTGGTACTGAAAACCTCGCGCCAGGTTCAATAAGGAGCTGGGTGCAGTTCGTACAGGTCTTCACCTCCCACTTCGTCACTAGTAAAAGGCGCCCGAGGACCCAAGAAAGCCTCCTTAGCATAGTCCAAAGGGAAGGAGAGTCCATCCGAAACTACATCAAACGGTTTAATGACGCTTGTTTGCAGATCCCTGACCTAGACCCTGCAGTTCGGCTCACTGCGGCCAAGTGGGGCATCACCCACAAGGAGTTCAAGTGGCACGTGGTTGTCAACCAACCTAGGACCGTGACCGAGTTCCTCGAACTCGCAGATCGGTTCATAGGGACAGAGGAGGAGATCAACTAGAAGGGCGAGCAAGCCCTTGAAAAAAGGAAAAGGGAACCGGAGCCCCCAGCTCCAAGTGACAGCAGGAAGAAGAAGGACCAAGCTTGGGGGGCAAAGCCAATTTAGCCTTTCCGAGCTCCGCCAGCAGAAAGGGACTACACGCCCCTCAACGCAAAGCGGGCCGAGATCCTCATGGCGATTAAGGACGCCCCATATGTGAAGTGGCCACCTCGGCTTAAGGCCAACCCCAATGTTAGGAATAAAAATTTGTATTGTAGTTTTCATAGAGATCATGGTCATAGTACCGAAAATTGTAAAAACCTCTGCGACGAGATAGAAGAACTCATCTGTCGCGGATATCTGAGAAATTTTGTACAAAACAATAATAATAATAAAGCAGGTCGGTAGGGGGAGCAGAATAAAGAGGCTCCCGAGTCCAACAGACAAGCAGAACAGCCGCAGAGGTAGCCTCCCGACGAGAGACCAGTCCGGGGGACCATCCATGTAATTGTCAGAGGATCAATTGTCGTGGGCTACACTTCGGCTGCAGCTCGGTCATCACCTTGCGAGGCCGCCAGGGAAGAGCTTAGCTTAACCCCCCGAAAAGGCCAAGGGTGGAGGAACCGATCTTCTTCACAGAAGACGATGCGCGAGGGGTCCATTATCCCCATGATGACGCGTTGGTCATAAAGATAAAGATCAACGACTTCGAGGTCAGGCGCGTCCTAGTCAACTCGAGCAGCTCGGCAAACATTCTCTTCAAGGCGGCCTTCAATCATCTACAGCTCCAGGAAAGCGACCTGAAGCCTGCAAACACTCCACTTGTGGGATTCAACGGTGAGGAGGTCAGGCCTTTAGGGAGACTAACTGTACCTGTGGAGGTCGGCACCTGGCCTAGTGTGGTAAGGCTCAACCATGAGTTCCTGGTGGTCGTGACCCCCTCCCCGTACAATGCAATAGTAGGTCTGCCCATCACCCACGCCTTACGAGCAGTAGTCTCCACCTACCACCTGGTGATCCCTACAAACTTCGGAGTCAGAGTGACGCGAGGCGATCAACTTGAGTCTCGCAAGTGCTACATAGCCGCCCTCAAAGGAAAGGCCAAGGTAGTAGATGACCTCGAGCTAGAATGACCTGCGGAGCAGTTC